CAACTCATCAGTTCAAAAGAAGTCCTTTTCGACAAGTGGGTTAAATAAACCATCAATCCTATATTCCGGAATGCAGCACTGAGATCAAAATTTACTAATATCATTATTCATTTAGTAACATTTCACATAATCCATAAGTCGTCTCACAGATTATTTAAAGAACAGAATAACAGATATTATGTTAACATCGATTTATGAAATGATCAAGAACAATATGAAAAGAAATTTCATCGGTTTTGAAACCGAAAATATCAAATAATTAAATTAGATAATGATTTTGACAGTAGGTTGTAAACACGATGTGGATCATGCTCTTTCAAATATCCCAAACATACCTACCGGCTTCTGTCGGTGAAGCCGAAAATCTATGTCATTATCTATGTCATTGAAACTTTCAAGCTTTCAATATTTCTAGTAGGCCGAAAGCGTATTCATCAACTGCTAGTTCAGAGATCGGAAAATGAAAAAAATTGAATGCTATCGCATATTTCACGTATTCCAAATTAATTGGAACGTGAAGTTTGTTTTATGGCACTGATATCTTTATGATCAGTTTCCTAATTGAGTCAGTTAATTACCAAATGCAGTGATTGCAAAACAAATTATAGATACAAATGTCATAACAGTCGTTTTTCAGATGTGAAAAAGTATGAGTGTCCACATGTCGACTGTAATGCGACCATTCAGGACAAAGGCGAATATGACAAACATTTCCAAACGCACGATAAACCATTTCGTTATCAATGCAAACTTCCCGGTTGTGGGAAGGAATTCCACAAATCATATTCATTTTTCAGGCACAAGAAATCCTGTCAACACAAACGTAGGGGTGGGAACTTCCTCAGTTACACGAAATCGCTGAAAATCCTGCAGAGTTTCTCAGTTTTGCAAATTCGGCAGAGTTTTTAGCATTTATTTGCCTATTTGAAACGAATGCGCTTGAAAATAAGTTACGGAATATCTATGACCGTGGAGTGGAATAAATTGTTCACATCGTTCGACTCAATGAAAATCATATCTAAGAAATGTTCATTGTAGATTCAGCGGAAGGAAATCCGCAGTTAGGACATACTTTGGCAGACACACGAAACCATCACATTGCCGGTCAAGGTTTAGCAGCTCAACAAGATCGCTCAAGTGGTGGGTATCCCCCAGAAAACTTTAACATCTTCGATGTGTTAACATTAACGATATTAACATCCTCGACAATGCTAACCTCCCCGACGACTTCGAAATATTTTGGCACCAGTGAAAACTGTCTGCTTGCAGTATATTAAAACTATTTATCTTCCCTATTTATCTCCTCTTCTTTCATTTATAAATTTTATAGCAAAGAAAAGAAAATTTGGTCTTAAAATTTAGCTTTCTTCTTTGTCTTGTAAGAATTATCTAAGGATTTCGTACAAAAGGGTTTCCCATTGGAACTTTGGGGACATTTAATGGATACTTGGATTTCTTGACAAAATTTCAGAAATATCTCTAGCCATTTTGAAAAATGCTTTAATGAGGTAATTTGTCTGCTATAATAATGAACAATTGTTCCGCTTTGTTTATATAATTCAAAAATACTATATAAGACTTTACCCTTCCTAGTGAAGTCATCATTTTTACTCAATTTATGATACGACTCTCGATTTTGGTTCTCCCTTAGTATTATGTCCTTCCGTCTTTGAAAGAAAAATGTTTCGTATTAACTGTGCTGCCGTTATCCAACGCCGCTGCCGCCTTTTATTACTTTCCTTTCTAGAGATCAAAATTGTTCGTAACCAATTTCAAATATATTATCCACTCATCAACTCGAAAAGGAGCCTCTTTTGGCAGATGGGTTGAACAAACCATCAATCCTGTATTCCGGAATGCAGTACTGAGATCAAAATTTACTAACATTATCATTCATTTAGCAACATTTTACATGAGTGCATGAATCGTCAACAAGAATCAATAAGAACATAAGCAAAGGTATAACGTGCAGAAAAAGGAATTATTTTTTTGTAAAAAACAAAGGAATTCCTGAATATAATATGAAACAATATTATAATTTGTCGTAATACTCGACGAAATATTGTTGTAGTCTGCCGTGATGCTGAATAAAAAATAGGTCATACTGTTGCTGTCATGCTGTTAATACTATCATACTATTGTCATCAACACTATTTGTTATAATACTATATAAGATAGGGTTACAATACTAATGTCATTTCCTTCATAAACGAAATGGAGCAATGTTCCATCTAATCAGTATCATATGCAGATGGTTCACTGACGATAAAATATCCCGTATCGTCCGGTGATAAGTAATAAATATGAGAGGTGTAATTAATTGGACGAAAATTGAATCATGCCATATTTCTTGCGCTGGACGATCATGATAATCTCAAAATTTCATCTCGTCTTCCGCAAATTTGCAAGGAAACTGGAATCACACAAGAAGAGCAATTCCAATGAAATTTTAAAATCTCCTATCAAATCGTCCACTAAGAAAAGTTAAAATAAAATTATCTGACACCTTATGTTCGCTTTCATACTTATTATCATTCAGCATCTGAGAAACCATTGATGAAGTTATCTGGAAAAAACATACAACACTGGGACAGAGCAAATGAGTTTCTAGACAATTTTTATCATTTATTTGACATGTCTTTATTTGCCGCTTTTGTTATTTAAGAAACATTTAACTTTGAATGAATTTATTGTATTGGATGCAGCAATAACTCGAAATGAAACAGACTCTGTTCCTTGAATTCAATTCCATATCAAGATGCGAAAAATTTGATATGTGCTTATTTGTCCGCATAAATGTTGGAAACAATCACAGACTTGTAGTCTATGTTGCATAGCATAAAAGTACAGAAAAATAATATTTCCGAAATAATATTGTCCTCACATCACCGTTCTCGATCCTTCTCACGTTCTTTGTCTTTCCGACTGTTTCTTTCTACAACTAATCGATTTAAATACAAAACAGTGAGAAAGGTAATACTAATTTGAAACAGTTCGCTGTGAAGCATTGTTAATCAGTTCGAAAGATTGCCCTTTTGTTAAATATTTTACTTTCTTGGTTTCAGAAAAGTTGAGATTTATTCTATGACATAATAAAAAACAAATAAAGATCATTTTAAATATTTCTGCTCCCAACAAATGTTAGCAGATAAAGCTGAAAAAGCTAAATCTAAATGCGCTAACATCCATTCCGAATGAATTAATTTTTTCCTTAATCCTTTTGGCTTTACATGATTGTCCGACACAACTATTCCACATTTAATTAAAAACGAATGGTCAACTGGATTTGCTGAAACTGTAATACCTCGATCACGATACTCTGGTGAGCGATGACGTCGATCACGGTCTCTGTTTCTGTCCTTATCACGATCATTGTCACGCTCTCTCTCTCGCTCTCGTTCTCTCTCTCTGTCTCTATCCCTACCTCGATCCACGTCACGTTCACGTTCTCTTGAATAACTACGCCGACGAGGCATGCCCTATAAAATCAAAAAATAGCATCATTTGATATATTATCCTCTTTTCTGTACAAGTTATATTTTGCAGATATCAAAGTTGAAAAGATTGGAAAACTCTTTGAAACAGTAGTTGCATAATACGAAGAAACCTGAATGATCTGTATTTCACTTTCAATAAAAAGTGCATAGTTTATCCTAAAATTAATCAGCAACCATGTAACGACGATGAACCCTAAAATACATGCCTTTGAACGCTCTTTTCTTTTATGAATTCTGTTGTCGTCGTCTTCGGAATCTGATGATGACAACTTGTCGAGATCTTCATCGAGTGCACTAACGTATAGTTGCAACTCACCAATTTCCTCCAAAGTAATTCGTTTCTGTAATTCATGTAAATTATAAAACATATTTCATTCAGTTTTCCTTACAGTTGATGCAAAAAAACAAAGAATCCCAGTGGCTAAGATGTTCTCCGAAGTTTGAAACCAAATGTTACATTACAAATAGGATCCACTGGTACCCAAATTCTCTAAAATCCAGACTCAAGTTAAAAACTGCCGTGCATTTGGCATAGCACGCTTTACCGCATCATTGTATTGATATAAGATCGAAGTAAACTTTTTAAATTGGGTTGATATTATTGATAACTCTTACTCCTCGTTGGCAACATGGTAGAAAACAAATAAATCATGCAAAAATCACAGAGGAAATAAAGTAGACACTTAGAATACCTGTATCCTCGGTAAATGAATGTCACAGTATCGTTCTTCACGCAATAAACTGTCGATAAATTCATCCATATGGACAATTTCAAATCCTATAAAAATCTTCACTAGCATCGAAATCTTATCTTGATAGATAGGTTATAATGAGGAATGCTCTAGTTTCAAGCTTACTTCCATCATTGTTCATTATTCGCAATTTTCGGTAATCGTTGTACAAGGGTTCCAAATATTTGTAAACTTCGATAGAAGTGAACGTAAGCCGAATGTACATCGCTCCCAAAGCGCGAATGTACCTGAGATAGAATAACGCAATGACGTACCAAAATTTGATCATAAACTTTAATTCTAATCAATTTAATTCTCAATAAGTTACTTGTATTCTTCCTGCCGAATAAACTCAACAGCGATATCTTTCTCCGGTTGAATTTGCAACATTTTCAAACACAGGCATAAAAAAGGTGTTGGTTTCACGTTTCCTGCATAGATCCCACCGATATATCGTAACTCCATTCCTCTGTCTACCAAAAGCTCCGCTGTAATTACAGTATAATGAGTTACCTACATTTACGCACACCAAACATGGAAGCTGTGTATATAAACAAAAATTTTTTCCGTATGTATGCTTAACTCACGGAATACAAAATGCCTAAAAAAAGATTGACACAAAGACAGATGCTTCAGAACAGGTTGCAAGGATCGATATTAGGCAGAAAGAAGCTTATAACTCAAAGTCATTCAAAGTCGTACAAACTACCTTATATACCATCAGATATTAGTAGGATTATTTTGTAACAGCTGTCTGTGGAAACATTTCTAATTGTTAAACACTGTATGAGTTACTTACCAGTCAACGCAAAACATTCTTCCTTCCAGTATTTCGAATCATAAATTCGTGTGCGGATGATTTTTTCCACTAAATATTGCGGATTTGTCCCTTTTACGGTAACTGCATCTTTTACTGTTCGATTTGCCATCCAGAAAAAGGTAACAAACCAATAGTATGGAGAGAAATAACTCTAAAGACACATTCAAACTTCACTTTTTATTCAAGTAGCTCAAGAAGCACATTTCGATGTAGCGCATTTTTCTGAAAACACTTTGACAAAAAAGACGACTCATCTAGATCATAAACGTATTAGATTTAATGACAACTAATCTTTTCCTTTGATTTAAACATTTTTCTTGTCTTGTCTTGCCTGCAATATATCGCCCATTACATTGATCAAATTTGAAACTTTTCTTCTGATACAAAGCAATAACTTTTATCAATTTTAGCGCAAACACGCAGTTTAAATTTGAGTAACTAAACTATAATTAAACTATACATGAGTCATTTTTTAATAAATTTAATACACAATAGCAAAGAAACTAAATTATATACTTGCTATTAAATAATCGATAAGTTGATAAGTGTTATCCCTATTCAAAATATATTCTCGCTTCTTACAGCATGCGATATATTCTATCAAAGTACTGGAACATTACATATTTTCACTGCCATACTTTTCCTTTCTAATACTGTAAGTATTTTAATTGAAATTTCTTGCATTATTCTACAGTCCCAAAAATTTAGATGTTGCACTGTTTGAAGAAATCAATACTCACTTCATAAACATTAGCTAACTCTGAGCAATGTAAAAACGTAAGGTAGTAATATAAGGTAATAATGGTATCTTACGTAAGCCATGAAAATGATAAATGAATGAATAATGATATGATAAATGAATGAATTAATGATATGATAAATGAATGGATAGTGATATGATAAATGAATGAATAATGATATGATAAATGAATGAATAATGATATGATAAATGAGTGAATTAATGATATGATAAATGAATGGATAGTGATATGATAAATGAATGAATAATGATATGATAAATGAATGAATAATGATATGATAAATGAATGAATTAATGATAT